TACCACTTATTTCGATCGATGACTCATCTGAGCAGCGTTTCCATTCTTATGAAGATACCAAAAATGGGTCGATTCATGGATAGCCTCAAAAGATGTGTCGTTCTTTCGACATAGAATCTATCTATTACTAGAAAGATGAGAAAAAGTAGTGGCTAGCGATGGACAATATTTTGAATGATCAATTTGTAACCATTTTTTCACAATAAAACCGTATTTTTACCAAAAAATCTTTTAAAATTAATGCACACTAATATATTATGTAAGAGTCTGCGCTAATCTTTAATGCTTCAATTTTGGTATAAAATAAACTTATAATTAACTTATAATTTTAATAAGAAAAATTTTAGTTACACAGATGAAAACATGCCGAATGTTTAAATTAACATGAAAACATGAAATGATACAGATATTCTAAACATTTTGAAATATTCTTTGTGTTGACTTTTATTAACTTGTTTAATATTTTTTTCTTGCTTTATTTTATGATGTTTTTATTATTATTTTTGTATCTATGTATAATTATGATAAATTAATTAATTTTTTTCTTTATTATTATGCCAATGATGTATTCAATATCTATTGACAATAGCAAAGAAATAGTTAATACGATACGAATTAGGAATCCCATTTTTATTTCAACTATAAATAATTCTAAGATCTAATCAGATTTATTCCGATTTCCCAAATAAATAAAGTTGTAATTGTAAGTAGGACACACACACATATACACATGCGCACACATATACACATACTTATAAATTAGATAACTTATCTATAGCAGTTATAATTATTTGAAATCATTTGTTATTTCCTTTTCATCTTTAAGGATACTTTAGGATACTCATACATGTATTGGTAAAGTCATTGCATAACAATTATTCTGGATTCTAATTGGAAATCATTTCAATTTCCCAAAATGTCATGGAATTTTATTAAGAAATCTACGAAGATTCGAATTAGAAATGTAATATTTAAAACATATATTCTAAATGAGAAACTCAAATAGATTCTATTTTTTCTACCAAATGTTTTTACAAAGTTTTCTTTTTTTCGATTTATGTTGAACAAAATATTTGTGAAACACTTTGAATATTTACAAATATTTTACAAACATAAATACTTAAAAAAACGTAAATACTCGAAGTGTTTCAAATATTTTGTTCCCTCTCTCTCTTTCTCCCCCTCCCTCTCACATATATATTTCTTTTACCATGAAAAATATTTAAAACTTATATATAAATATAAAAATTTGTATACATATTAATATGTAGTTAATAATAAATATTATTAACTACAAAATTGCTAACCTTTTACTTTATAATTATTATAACACACATACACAATATTTTCCCTATATTGGATTTTATTAGAAATTTCAGATCACGATTCGCATAATGTGTAATAACGATATCCTTTGTTTTACAAAGACAAATTGATAACGAAGTCGTACTCGTTGCATAACACATATTTACACAATACATAAAACAATTAAATTGTCAAATTACGTAACCTTCGCGAATTTAACCGCGAATTGCCAAAATCGTCAAGACACCATTTAAGGGGGGAAATCCAATTAGAACGAGGAAAAATAAGCTATTTTCAAGAATTTTTTTGTAGGAGAAAGAATTTTTCTATATTTTTCAAACTTAAACATTTATTTATATATGTTTTGGACTGTCCATACGTATTTTTTTTTCCAAAAATATTTAAAAATGGCGGACATATGAAGCATCCCATTTGGCAGGTACGCGTGCGAGTTGCTCAGCTGCTGGACAAATGGCGTCCGTGATATTGATCCTATAACAGGCAGCGAAAAAATTCTTATTATTTATACCCATAATTCGTAATTGAACCTAAAAAAATTGAAAAAAGTCAAAAATTTTGAATATGAAACGCTTATGAAAATAAATTTCCATTTTTTGACGTTTTCTCTGCACAATTTTTGCAATAAATAA